ATGGTGCATTGACATTTTGACATCCATAGAGACGTGTTTCAGAATCTCAAAATTTGTTAGATGGTTCATAGAGTAACGATATATGCACTTGCAACCATTGTATTTGATTTTTAATCGAAATCGATTATGATGAATTATGTCAGAATATTTGATTATGATTGCTGCATATTCATATCATAATGTTTTTACCCTTTCATCATCTATTGGAAGCATTTACTAATTTACTCATGATACAGCCTTGTGAAGGCATCCAGAATTCTCATAGTGGTTTAATTCTTGTGTGCTGTGCACGCATACTTGTCAATTACTACAAAAATGATACAAGTATTTATATAGTTGTATCATGAATAAATTAGTAAATGATGCTAATCGATAATGATCACCGGTTAGTTGTTGATACTCCGTTTATATCCATCGAACGGAGTTTTTCAAAACAAACAAAACCGGTGAGAACATTCTGAGACATACATAGACCGACTAAGTTTCATTCTAACTCCAAACATATAGGTTGGTTTCACCAAAAGCTTAACTTTCAAGATCACAGATGACTAAGAATGAACCAAACATTCGTCTTTTTCCTATATATAGTAGTTATTTGGGTTGTGATGACTTGTATGTCTCCATTTGTCATCTGCCACAATAATACCATTTGGAAGTTCGTTGTAAGGACTAGGGAACAGCCTATCTACGAGAGTGTTCCAAATGGAACATCGGTCGTATTATCGATGTTTGCCATCTCATCACTTGTCATGAAGACAGTATGAACAAAACAGAATTGAAAGTAAATTCTTCGAAAGCAACAATGTTTTGATGGTTCAGACGAACATTGATGCAGTTTGGTTTCTTCTTTTGTGTGAGTAAGTTTGCAAGCTAATATAGTGAACGTTATTGTTATCTACTGAGTCGATTTCTGTCCATTGGGAGTGACCATTTTTCTGGTTAATGGGAGCCTCATGTAGTAATCTTTGGTACTTGGATCTCTCTTCGACATCAATTGAAAAGATTACTAAATGATTCAGCCCTTCATTCACTTAGGTTTGACTAGATTTCAGAACCCAATTCGATGTAAATCGATTAAAATTCTATTGCGGCCTCTCTCTTACCGATCTTATGTGCTTTCGTCTCTTTTCGTCCTTTTCTCTGCTCTCGTTTTGGCTGTTTTTCTCTTTTTATTCAATAATAATGTATTTGGCAAGCCTAGAGAGGTAATTAAGGAGAAAATGAATAGACGACAAACATTTTCATTTCATATTTGGAACAGATGATTTTTTATATATAGATTGTCCGTTTTCTTACACATTTCATTATATTTGTATTCTTCTACTTCCCTTGTTACTTTAAGCTATGGTCGATCTTTGTCATCAGAATCCCTTGGATTGTCGTAATAATGGTCAATGTGCTGTAAATAATTCATCAAATACGACTTATTGCCAATGTAAACCGTGTTATGATGGATTCCTTTGTGAAAATGGTACTTGGAGACCGTTAGAGCTTGAAACAGATTTCATCTACTTAATCGTATTTATAATTGCACTGTGTTTGTCAGTTTTGAATAATATTCTCTCTCTCGAAGTATTCTTGGGTTGTAGTCGAGTTCGTCGCACGAACTGTGGTATCTATTTAATCGCCTATTCCATTGTTTCAGTTCTATCAAGTATTATACTAGTAGTTTATCAAGCTCTGTATTACTATCTAAATCGAGTGCCGAACGACGGTCAGCGTCCCGCATATACTTGTTATTTTGGCCAAATTGGTTACAATACGCTTGTTTATATATGTATATGGCTCAGTTCATGTGTTGCATTTGAACGTGTTTTAATTGTGGGCTTCGGCAGTAAAATAAATGCTACTCGATGGCGATCATTTGGTACTCTCATATTTTTCTTTGCACTAGGTGTTGGCTGTGCTATACCAATGATCGTTTACCAGTGTGACTGGGATAGTTTACCACGTTTACAGTTTTTACGTCGTTTCTTCGTTTGGTTCTACATTGTTACAGGGATCTTGATATATGTATTAGTAACCCTGATGATTTTAATTATTTTTGCAGATCGTGTACGCAGATACGGCATGGAGAATGGTTCGTTTATAAAAACATTTCTCAAACTATTATACACACATTTATTCATTTTTATACCACCGGTGTCTTATGGTATTGGCTACATTCCCTATACTATTGTGGTCAACACGTGGAACACGAATGTTTCGTACTTTGAATGCGATATTTCAACTGCGGAATACATTATAAAAGTCTTAGTAGAGATACTACAAGGAGTCCCATTTGTTATTACATGGTTAATCTTTGTTTATCCATCGAAAGTGTATATGAACGAATATTATACGAACACATGGTCGGGACAACGTTTAGCTAAAATTTTAATCTTCTTCCAACAAAATAATGATAGAAACAATAATTCTGACCCTAATACTAGAGATGTCACACATAATGAAGACAATAATATTGAGTCAGAGTGAACATTAGTAATTGAGGGGTTCATTATTGATTGTTCCATTTTATACTTGATCGATTTTGCTTCATTTTTCTTCTCTTAACAGGATTGGAACGATTTGATGCGCTTTCAATGTTTATCTAACATGTTGATTGTATAATTCAAATTCATTCTAACTATACATTGAGTCACAATAAACCAGAATAATGCTTAAAACTTCAGTTTCTTGAACGTGATGGTGAAAGCAGATGTGAATATGAGTGTTGTTAAAGTTATAATCAACACCCATGCACGATTTTTCATTGAAACGCAGCTGAAAATTCGATTATAATTCGAGTAATTTCATGCTGTATTAGTCGAATAACTTCTTGCAAAGCTCACATTTATATCCTCAACATATTTCGACATATCCCATCAAATGATGTTTTCAATTGACTGATAGCTCTCCAAATTTCATAGAAAACCTTCAAATTGAGGCTGTTCCCAGAGTTGTACTGTTGAATGAAGTCAATTAATACAAGAAATAAGATCTTTATGAAGCACGGTTTTCCAATCCATATAAAAAAAGGCTAAAAATCTGATTAAAACCAATTTTCGGAAGAAAAATCTAAAAGAATCGATTGAAAGTAGTCTATTCCGATTAAATTTGAGTCAACTTATGATTATAATCGATTTCACTCAGTTTTAAATCGACTAAAATCGATTTTTTTTAAAGAAAACCCAAATCATTAGTCAAAATTGATTATTCTCGTCACTGCAACGATAAGGTGTAGAAATGATAATCACCTGTGTTCGTCTGTTGGCAACACTTGCTAAAAGCAACCACAACCACGGTCAGGGCCCGCGAAAGTGGGGGTGTACACAGTGGCGTAACCAGGAGGGTGTGGGTGGGTGTAGTGTATTCGCGAGTCTTTCATAAAAGCCACATCGACACCGACACCCACACCCCACCCTCCATTTGTTGAAATGATTCTCCTGAGTAGATTATTTCTTTTTAGTGAATCACTGGTAAATATGAACTTTTTCGATGTTACTTTGATGCATATGGTAATGTGACTCTTATGTAAACAAGAAAAAAAATTGTTTCGTTTTATTTGATGAAGGATCATTTTCGTTAAGAAAAATGACTTTTTTTTATTGTTGTTGTTTATTCTCGTTTGAGATATTTCACTGGGAAAAAACTCGAAATTTTACTCACTTGAATAATTGAAACAAACGTTATAAAAACGAACAGAATTTCTTTTTATGAACAACAGTTTAAAGTTGATTTTTTGAAGTAAGAAAATACTTGGTTGAATATTTCTACATTTGAATTGTTTGCTGATTAAAGGATCTTTATTTGATTGGAATCAATGGTGCTTCCTCAATTTGAACGTTTACCTCATGAACTGGTTTTGAACATACTTAACTATTTATCAACTGTCGATGGATGGTATTCTTTCTACAATTTAAATAGTCGTCTGAATAATCTTCTCGAAACCAATGTAGCACAAATTGATTTAAGCAATTGCCGCAGATCTCAATTTGTTTTCTCTTGTAAAACTATTCTGATTCATATTCAAAATCCATTCTACCTTAAATTTTCGATGAAACGTTTAGATGAATCGATAGATCATTTTTTTATTAAATTAAAATCGCATAATCTTGATGATTTATTGGAATCGATGACATTGCTCAGTGTGACTGACCAAACAATTGATAGTGTTGTTCAATATTTAAACTGTCTATTAAATCTTCGTTCATTGACAATCATTTATGACTCATTTAAATCAGCTAAAAATTCTCTAGAGAAAATCATGAATACAAATATGGTCTCACTCACAGATCTCAACATTGATTACGCAAGAAAACACAATGAATATCTTCAGGGAGAAAGTTCTGCTGAAAATTGTTCAAAAATTCTCAATATTAAAAATATTGTTCTTCGAGTTCCAATTTGCTTAAATACGCTTCACAATCTGTTGTATTTGCTGCCAGAAATAGTCTCCATTGAAGTTGGTTTACTGCGTACATGGAGAAATAATGATATCGATAAGCCAAGTATAGGTGAATGTTCACCTAATTTAGAAAAATTGATTATTCTTGTTCATAACAATGACATAATTTATTTCGAGGCCATATCAAAATTACTGCAAGAACTACCACAGTTACGTACATTTTGGTATTCAGCGTTCATTTGTGACAATAATCGTTGTAAAGAATATCATAACGGTCGAGTATGGGAACATTTAATTCGTACATATTTACCAAACTTAATTGACTTTCGCTTAAATGTAGGTCTCGAAAGAGAGATGGGAACGGGCCCTTCAGATGTGATTCAATCATTCTGTAGTCCTTTTTGGACTCAAGAAAAGAAATGGTGGTTTGTCGCCGATAAGCCTGATAATAATGCTGATACCATTGAGCTTTATAGTCTCCCTCCACCAGATCATGGCGAAATTATCTTTTGTCCAAAATCCGAATGGGCCTCAAATTCGCCAAATCCAAATTTCAAAAGTGTACGAACCCTAGGATTACAACGTCCATTACACCCTGTGTGGGCCGTGGTAGGCAAACACCGGTATTACACGAACGTTACAACGATTCGACCACCGCATGATTTTGACATCGGTACTTTGGATGATGTTGCCATTCTTTCAAAGTATATTAATTTAACAAGAGTTAAGGAACTCACGGTCGAAGAAACAGCCATTGTTGAGGCTCTACCGATAATGGCGAGTCTCTCAACACTCAAGATCGAATACTCACGTGATAATCTTGAATGTTTCATGAAAATTTCTTCGCCGATATTTCAACTTAAGAAACTGATTTTCACATGTTCTGATCATCCATATTACTTCAATCGATATGAGTTAACAATAATAAAAAATATCTTTCCAAATCTCGAATATCTTCAATTAGCCATTAGAGAACTCGAAGATTTGATTACTCTCATCAATGGATTAACCCATTTGATTTATATTAACATATATTACGCACATCAAACAACCAATAAAAACTATGTACTAGAATGGATACAGAAATATGCTACGATTTACAAATTCCAGTGGTCACTGGAAAAAAATAGGATCGATATATGGTTATATTAGTTATACCCATCAAGTAGATCACAAAAAACATGTAATAAAAGAGACTCTTGTCCTCATACAAGAACGAAGAATTGAAGATGATTAGCATATTTCGATATTTTCGACAGATAAAATCTTGAGGATGTGGGTGGGTGTGGATGTGGGTACGTGAGGTGTGGGTAAACAGACGATCCACACCCACACCCTCAAAATAGGGTAACAAGGAATACTTTTTTCGACACTCGAGTATACTACGATGGGTTATTCAGCTGATTTGGCCCAAGACTTTGGCTATAGGGCGCATGAGGAATCTTATCGAAAGAATGTCGATAAATGCGTATCAATTTTTCTAGGGTATCGAATAATTCTGTGATAGTGGACCAGTGCATTGGAAAAAATCACCCAATGTTGGACTTTTCTGCTGGATAGAAGGAAAGAGATCATTTGACTTTTCTGGACCCGTCTTGAGGATCGAAATCCGGCTCACTCGCAGATGCGAATCAAAGGTGTGGTGAACACACTCTTACATTTTCATTCGTATCTCTTGATAGAATGTCGCCGTGACAATCGATCAGAACTTTCCTGCAAGCGCTGTATAGCTCGTTCGCAATCGACAGCGCATTTGTCGAGTTTCAAATGGTTCGTTGCGCCGACCTGAGCGGACACCGAAAGTGCACGATTCAAATCGATTCGGTCAAGATTCGCCGAATCTTTTGGACGCAGAAATGTTAAGAAGGCAAGAAACGTTTAAGTAACACATCTTTGCAAAATGAAGCTCGAGAGACCTTTTTCTCCATGGACATTATTTTGCCCGATTGAGCGACACGACTCGCTGTCATGATCAAATCGACGCGACGCGTGAATCAGATTCTGGTTCGGGTACGAAGTTCGTCGTTTTTTTCCTGTCGAAGACTTTTACAGCCCTTCTAATTGTCTCTCGAGATCTTTTGTGTAGAGCGCCATACTTTTCTTCTTAAGCTATGTCACCGGTTCTCGGAACATTCAACTGGCTTCACTTCTCGTGCCTTCCTCACGTTTTTCAGTGACTTTTCGTCGCTATTTTTTTTTGCGAACCGCAGCGAAGGTGTCAATGTGTTTTGATGTATCGATTTAATATCTGACTAAGCCGGCTGACATCCGCCTTGCATTTGGTTATGATTGCTTCTTAATGCGCTATTCGCCGAATTCTTCTTCTACCTTTTACACGAGTACAGTGAGAACAGATTGGGGACTTTTGCTCAATCATGCCGAACAGACTTGAGGCCCTGCTCAACGAAGAGAGCGATTTCTTTACAGAAAATTTTGCCCGACACCGGTAACGACAGAGAAAATTCACGTCCATCGGATCGTAATCGTCAACGTTTCCGTTTCTCGTTTCAATTAGATTCTCTTCCTCGAACGCCTATTCGCTGCTTTTCACCTTTCTTGATACTCTGACGACACTTGATAATCAATGAGAATGTTACGGCCGGATTTGTTTGTTCGCCAATAGAATCAGAAAAGGAGCCGATTTTCATAAAGTAGTAGTTGATGGGAAGTGGCGAATCATTGCGCTTTGTCGGGTGTGGGCATGTTTATAATTGAACTTTTTAGAAACAAAGCTAGTTACGACACGTTTCGACTATTGCTCAAATAGTCATCATTAGGTATCCTTAGAATCTAATACTATATAGAAAAACAAATAAGATCAATAATAAACTTCTATATATTCAAAATAATAATAATAAATCATTTCAATAAAGGCGTTTTTGAAAGAAAACCAGCAGTGCCACATATCCCGAAAATTGAAGATGCATCAACTTGTCCGCTGGGAGAAGCTGTATCCACTGCAAGAGATGTGGGTGTGGGTGCGGGTGAGGCGGATGTGCATCTCCAAAGGAGATGATACTTCTCCGGTGGTGCATGAATAGTTCTCCAAATTTCGGAATATGTGACGCTGATATGTGGGTGTGGGGTGTGGGTAGAAAGAATAGTGATAGCTATACCCGCACCCACACCCTAATTGCACCACTACTAACAGGTACTCAATGTTTCTAAATATAAGGTCAAACTGAAGATGGAAATAATGCTTGACGGGCTAAACGTCAAGTAACGTTGATGATAAATATTAGTAATACTCGTCTATGCTTTGTTAAATAGAGTTTTATAAAGCAATCGCCGGCTGGATTGAGATGTTATTAATGATGATGCTTCGACAAGTGAAAATAATACATCAACTGATGATGATACTACAACAACTATAGCACTAACACCAACTCTATCTCTTTGTTCAACGGAATCAATGGTGTCACTAGTTACTGACGCATCAAATATCGGTTTATTATCAACAACTTTACTTATGAAAGTATTATGTTGGATACCAAAAGTTAGGTAAAAGAAAATTTTTTATATTATAAGTTATATTCTTATGTTATATTTATTGAAATAGGCAGAAATACTTCGAAGAAATTGTTAATTTTATATTAAATGATGATCTAACAACATTAATTGGGTTATCAAAACCAATTCATGAAAGCGCCAAAATCCTTAAATAAATATAAATTTTGGAAATGGCTATATACACCCGTGTAGATATTATCAATTAATTAGTAAATATTAAGCTATATTTTAGTCTTATATGCACTTCATACATAATATAAATAAAATTTCTTATAGCTTATTAATAATTGTACTGTATTTATTCTTTATTAATTTCAAATAGAGTATAACTCAAGTATTGCAATCAGAAAAATATGAAAGAAAAAGTTAATTCAGAAAAAAATCAATTAATTTAGAAACATTTTGTAGCGCTTTCTCTCTGAGATTTTGAAGAAAATGATTTTATTTTATTATTTTCAATACACCTAACATAATGATCATAGAAAGATATCTTTTTATCAAATAATAATGATAGAATCTTCTTTGGCATCCGTTTCTGATTTTGGTAGGTCTTTTTCCTGGTCTCAATAGAATATTATTTTATAGTCTTGTTTTAATTCTTTTTTAGTGAGATTTAATCAGATAGTCTTAATAAGAGGATATCGCCCTAGACAGTGTTGCCATCTTTTGATGGCCGAAAAGCAGAAAATGGCTGAAGTTTTATTGTCAAAAATCAGAAAGTGTGTGTTAGATACCAAACAATATTTAAGCTTTGACTTATAGAAGTAGTGAGAATATTTCAAAGCAAGTTTTCAATCTTTATTGTACAAAATCAAGAAAACGCTTAGTCAAACAAAAAAAGAAAATGAAAGTATTCATTATCTTTTGAACGTATAACTTTTTGCTGATTTAATAGCTTTCAATTAATCTTGGTTGTATACTATATCATACTAATATAAATCACTGGTAAAAAATTCTGGGCCACTCAGCAACAGTTCTCCAGTGTTTAAATATCATTTTATTCATCCATTAACTTCTCTTCGATTGTAAATAATGTCAATTGAGACAGGTTGAAAAAGTAACGATTGTACTTAGATGTTTTCGTGATGGAGGTTATATTAGTCAGACGTTTTTCGTAATGAAGCTTTTCGCTGCAAAAATGCTAGTCTTATGAAAGAACCTGTTAAAATGCTTCTGTGAAATAGGAGAAAGGGTATCCTTTTTTGCTCGTTTTCGAGAGCCAAATAGATTCGATAAAAAAAGAACATTTTCGGGCTCTCTCACATGTTAAAAGAAAGCGCTGGACGATAGAGAAAAACAAAAGTATATCTTATTGTTTTTTTTTTAATGTAAAAATATCCAGAAGATGCCCAAATTTTTATATATCTATTTTGTTCCAGTTCGTGGTACGTTGTTTGATGCATTAGAGAGTCCGAAAATGGATTTTTTCGACTTTATTCTGCTACTCAAAATGAGTAGAAAAAAATGTTTTTTGTTGTTTCATAGAAGTTTTTTAAACGCGTGATTTAGGTCACTTGCATTTTTGCAATGAAAAAACTCTTGAAGAAAAGCATCTGACTACTATAATCTTCATCACGAAGACATATGTAAATAGTCAGTCTTTCAAGATATTTCGAATGATACTATTTAGAATAGAAGAAAAGTTAATGGGTGAATGGAAGGATGTTTGTCTCAGGACTTTTGATCGCTGGATATTTTATGTTTGTATTATTTTGTTGATATCAAATGCCGAGGATTTGTTTACTTTCACAGCCAGCTTACACGTAAAGTATTGGGTAACTATTGCCGAGTGTCCCAGAACTTTTTTTGTGACGACTGTAGATTGACAGTTTTTCGTAAATAGTGAAAAACAAGAATCAGATTTATCATAAAATGAGGATAGGACACAACGTCACCAAGTATTGGTGAACATTTTCCTTCGCAATTTTGAAAAAACTTTGTAGTATAATAGGCAAGATATCTGGAAAACCAGAATAGATGGCAACATTGGTCCTAGATTAAAAGGTAATTGGCTTTTTATGTTTTTCAATTTTCCGTTTTATAAGCCAATTAACTAGGAAAAAAAATAGAATAGTTCGTTCTATAGTTTATCACCAGACAAAGAAGGTATAATTAAAGCGCTAGCATAACATAATTTTCTACCAACGTATTGAGAATAATAAAATAAAACCATTTTCTTCAAAACCTCAGAGAGGAAGCGCTACAAAATGTTTCTAATTTAATTGACATTTATCTGAATTAACTTTTTCTTTCATATTTTTTTTTATTGTAATACTTGCGTTGTACTCTATTTGAATTTAATAAGGAATAAATAGAGTACACATTATTAATAAACTATAAGAAATTTTATTTATATTATGTATGAAGTGCATATAAGACTAAAATATAGCTTAATATTTACTAATTAATTGATAATATCTACACTGGTGCACATAGCCACTTCCTCGTTTTTTATCTCGGGCATTAAAATAATTATTTGTTCGCTATGATTTAATCTGCTCATATATGACTGTCAATTAATGAATAAAAATCTATTTTGCTAAATCTGTATGACTAGAAACCTAAGATCTGTGACAATTACATCAATACGAAATAAATATCACTATTATAATAGTCATATTACGTATGCAAGATGAAAATTAATCAAAGCTTTATACGGATTTCTTGATACTCATAGGTCTGATAAAGAAATTCTACCGTAAAGAAATTCACGAACGAATAAAAAACAATTGAAGAGAAAATATCGTTTCAGCTAGTAATTTATTAATTAATTTTTCAAGTAAGAAAATGTTTGTCTTTCAAATTTAATTAGTTATAAGCAAAGTAGAAAAATTCATTGTTAATATAAAAATTAACCATGGAAGCGGTAACTTTGCTTTATTAGTATAGCAAGTTTGCGTTACTTGGTCAGGTTTAGTACATGGTGATTGTTGTCGACATACTGAATTGCACATTGCACAATTTCCATGTATGCTAATATCATAATTTATACATCCATTTGTACTACAACAACCACATCTACAAATTGTATTTCCACTAGTACCACTAACACATGTACCGTTTACTTGGCCATAGTTTGATAGCGATGGACATGATAATGGATATCGTCTTTGACATGCCTGTGTACAAGCACCAGATGAACATTGGTATGCTGATGTTATACCCACATATGTCGGTAAACAATGAAAACCTGTTTGACAGCACTTACATGAGCATGTATTACCTAACCAAGGATCAACGGTTGTTACTACTGATGTTGTTGTTAGTGTTGATGGTATCGTTACGAGACCACTACATGTACCTTGTGCTTGTCCATGATGATTTACTGAACATAGATTTGGATATTGAGTGGCGCATGATATACTACATGAGTGGATGTTACATACAAATGCAAGACTATTACCAACATATGAAGGTGAACATGAAGGAAAACCCGTATTACAACAATCACATCGACAACCAAATGATGGAATAGTTGTTGAATTACATTGTGCTGAAATTAGATTGTAAGGATAATTTTCTCGACATTTAGGATATGTTGCTTGACATTGTGCAAGACATGATAGTAATGTACAAGTTTGTACGTAAATTGGAGGTAAAGGAATAAGATTACACGATAGATTACGACAGCATGAACATAAACATGAATGTTGTTGTGCTCGAACATTTGTCAACAACAAAAAATACAATAACAGATGCATTGCTATGAATTGTTATGATCACGTCAGTGACGATTTTACGTAAAAGAAGTATAATATTGAGACAAAATTGATACTTTCAAGACAACAACAAAATAGAAAGGTATATTCAAGGTTGAATCTTATTGTCAACATGTTATTTGACTATGGAATAAAATAATACCTAAGTACATATTAATAATCTCAAAAAGCATACGCGAATAGGCCATAACAAGCTCAGTATGAGTTCCATCAATGATTAACCTCTTTTTTTAATGATTCCAAAATATTATCATTAATGATTTTATTGCGAGAGAGATTACACAAAAACTTGGAGATATCTTTTTTTTTCCTTGAAATATTTATGTCTTTAAAGTGAATGAAAAAAAACAATATTGATACAAAAATGATTCATTGTCTGATGAAGACAGACAAGAAAATCAGACAAACTCTTCTAATGATTTATCAAAATTTAGTTTTTAAGAAAGAATAAAGATAAACTCATAGATTAATTTTGGCATCCTTCAATTTTTTGTTCTTTCGCTGGTATTTGTAAGACTCAAACGTATTGATTAAGGATTTAAAAAAAGAACTTAAATAAAGGACATAACAGGAAACTTTTTTAGGAGAATTTAGCAATTAAATTTCAGTAAAGCCAAAAATTTATATTTATCAATTAAAATTATGTTTTCGAAATTTTCAAATTGATAATCATTAGATATGATTATGTAGATATGTGCCAGAAGAAAAATGTAAATTTTGCGAAATTTTTTTTCAGTATACTTCGGAAAGATGGAAGGGCGTTTTCAAGCGAGTATCTCATTTAGCTTTTTTAGCTACACTACATAAAACACTGTTGAGAATGTATTCCTTATGTAATTTATAGAAGTTTTTTTTCTTAAAATTATTTCTGCATTTTTCTTTCAGTAATCGTGAATATATTTACTTTGTGAATTAATAAGCTCCTGTTGCAATAACTGGTAGAAAAGAGTCGATTAGTTGCTATTCTTCTGCTTGAATAATCCTAAACTCTTAGAAAAATGTCGACTATGATATTGTTCAGTTGAAAAACGAAATTCTCTTCTTCTTTTTCACATTTTTTAAATTGATTATGTAAATTCGTGATTATTTAATCAAAAACTATTCGAAATTTCCGTCTTTCTTGCATGAAAATTGATTAGATTTAAAAACTTAGAAACATCTGTTGGCCTAGTTTGACCTGTTGACAGCTCTATGGAAGTACCACACAAGTAATATTATTGTCTCGAGCTGGTGGAAGATTAATTTAACTAACATATTTGATTTTATTTTAGAAAAAAAACTATCTATTCTAGAAAAGTGATACGTAAGAGGTAGCACATATTTCAAACTATTCAAAGATATTTGTTTTCTAGTTTTGTTTCCTAAGATATTAATGTATCTACCATCAGCATGACAAGAAAATATTATCCATATAATTTGTCTGTTATTATCAGTATCGAAGTTGATCATCATTTTGACTTGTTTATTTTTTGTTTTATCGTTATAAAAAAGAATTAACTCTTAATTTTAGTTCAAACTATATGATAAGACATTGTTCAATTCCAGTCATTTGTTAAATAGGTTAGGATATGATTTGACAGCATTATCCAAAAAATGACATACTTTTAGACATCATAATTTCGTTGTAACTTATCCTTGTCTAACAAGGGAACCTCTACAAGTGTCAAGTTGCTTCTTGATCAAGACGATGTTTATTTGATGAGTACTAGTTTAGTAATAGAAAAGTCTAGAATGCTTTGATTTTTTAGATTTTTGTTCTTGAGATATTGAGGTTTTACTCGTAGATAAGTTGATTGTACAAGTTTTAGCTATTTCTGTGTATCTCCTATCTTAAAATATTGAATATTCGAAATTCTCTCATATATAAAAGCAAATTTTGATCATATATTTACAGTTTGAAGTCGAAACTCGACTTTCTATCTGACCTGAAGGCGAACACAGCTTTTTGTTGAAAAGCACATCTCGAGAACACAAATATCCAAAAAACCAAGTCATTCTAGATGTTTCTTTTAATCGCTAGTATTCATCAAATAAATATCGCCTCGATGAAAAAGTTTCCTTGTAAATGTCTGTGTTCTTTAACTACATTAGTATTGAAGCATGCAATTAGATTATATCACATAATATATATATATATATAAACTTGTTTTATTTTGTAAATGTTTTTCATTTGAGATGTATTGTTTGTCGCCTCTCATCTGAATTAATTATAAAAAAAATTCGATTAAAATAAAGAACTTGAACGCAAGGTTATAAAATAATAAAAGTATATTTAATTCATTATATTAGTTAGTATAAATGTTTTTTTTTCGTCTCTAAATACATTTTGCATTTATTTTTCAATGAAATTAATTATCGTCCATCGACCGGCGTATATCCTGATGCAGGTGCTATAATACAAAATAAGCGATATTATAATGAAAAATAATAAATTATTTCTCACTCCATGTACCAAATGCAGAATCATTAAGACGATCTTGTCGAACTTTATTTAGCAATATAAGTACAATTGGTTTGAATATCAAATGAAGTATAGCAAAACTAGAACAGTCAAATATAATGTTCAATTGAAGATTTCTTTCTTTTTCGAAAACTTAACTTACAAAGCACTAATAATAAAATATGCAATACTATTGATAGTACTATAAGCTAAAAATAAATAAAATGGTTTTAATAAGAATTAAAAAAAGAACATAATATACAATGTCGTCCAATTTGAAAATACATTCCAATACCAATTGAATCCAATAGAATTGAAAAAAGTTGAATTAACATTAACTAAATGAATAACAAAATATTAATAATGTACATGATAGAAAACATATAACAAACAAGTTCAACTTGAATAACACTTTCACGATGTACTATAGCCCAAAAACCAAGTGCTAGAATGGTAACTTGATTGAGAAGATATGACTTAGGTAGCCAATCAGCCATTAGTATCCTAATCAAAGAAATTTATTTTCAAATTTCGAAATATAATTTTTATTCTTTTCAATTTTGAAAGATTTACATTGTTTATAATTAGAAAACAATGTTAAATTTCTTTATAAAACTTTCAATTACTTACATGCTTATAAAAACAAAATGTATACAAATAATTATCTTAAATAATCAATAAAACATCATGTTATTTTTTATTTCAAATTTATATAGTCTTACTCGAAGAAGTGTATCACGATTCATCGTCATTTTTTATTGTTCGATATTATCTATCTACAAATAAATATTAATGACTATTTTTACATAAAATCGTTCTCAAAAGTATTTGATCAGAATTATACTCTATCGATTTTTGTGTACTCAAAAAGTGAGTACACTCTAGAATCGGTCAGTATGTCCGTCCGTCCGACCGGCCGTTTACACGATAACTTTTGAAAAGAGAGTCCAATCACAATGAAATTTTCCACACAGTTCAGTCTTAACAATGTCTCGGTCGAGTTCGAAGATGAGCAGGATCTGTCAAGAAATAGCTGAGTTATCGAAAAAATTGTGATTTTTGACCAGACCATCCCTGAGGGGTAGTACAGGGATTTTTTCAAAAAAAAAATTTTTTTTTCAGAATTATTTACAACATATATAAATCGACTCAGTTTTTAACGCTGATTCTGAATCTGATGTTAGTTTTGAACCGAATCATAGTTTTGTTTACTCAAAAAGTGAGTAGACTATAGAATAGTCAGTGTGTCCGTCCGTCCGATTGGCTGTTTGCATAATAAATTTTGACAGCAGAGTCAGATTGTGATGAAACTTTCTACACAGCTTAGTCTTGGAAATAGCTCGGTCGAGTTCGAAGATGAGAAAGACTGGTCGAGCCCTTCCTGAGTTATTGCAAAAATATCCATTTTTCTCTATAGCTTTCTGTCGAAAAATGGACCCATCGCGATTTTCGTAAAAGACTTTTCCTATCATTGTCGATGAAAACCCCAACTATTATATAGCATTCGATAGAAAATTTCAAGTACTACAAAATGATATATAAAACATAAAGAACCAAGAACGTTGACTAACCTATCACAAAGATAATTAAAGAGAACTAGGTTATATTTTGGTCCACAATCTAATTGATCCACAAATAAAGCTTCATCTTTCGATTACACTGATGATATTTCGAGGTTTTCAGGTATGGAGAACTCGAATGTGTACTGCACCTCCATCGAAATACTAGTAGTTATGCAGTGACCAATAGAAATGAAGTTCTAGGAAAAACGACTTTCTTAGAGTAAATCAAGGTGCAGAGTTCAAACTTGAGCTTAGTTCGGTCCCATTTCCTATTGGTTTGGCAACGCGCAATATAAATCAACATTTTAAATGGTAGATTTCCGAGTATAATTTTGATATTCAGATAGTCAAGGATGATTGATTTGTATGATTCACTTTTTGAAGTACACATAACTCTCGGATTTAAATCCGAAGTTTCCGCATTTATTTTTTATAAAGATGTATTTTATGCAAATTTAATCCCAAGAGTAAAAGTTACCATTTGAACCACTTTCTTTTTATCATTAGAGTGAAAAATAAGACGTACAAAGCGTCGCTCTCTTCTTCTACAATGACTTGAATTCTTCTTGATGCAATTTCTCTGCTCTTATCAGTCACCATCGCTCTCTGTCCTTCTTTTTACTTTTTCTTTTTCTGTTCTTCGTCTTTCCTATGTTCTGTCAGCTGTATTCTTGTCTTTTCTTTTATTGTAACCTTTCTATTCTTTCGTAG